CATAGTCCTCAGCTCTGCCCTGCAAGGGTTCCCCCGCTTCCCTCTTATTTAGTAGGGAGCGGGTTATCCTAAACAGGGCAGCTGGACGGGACTGAGCGGACGCGACCAAGGTGGCTATGTAAGATCTTTTGGCTGCCCTAAGTGCCCTGGTGTATTCCTTGGTGCAGGTGGTTACCATTGCTCGGTTCGATTCGGACTTATCGGACCTCCATCGGTGCTCTAGGCATCTCCTCCATTAACATTACATTCTTATTATTGTAGTTAACTAAAGGTTATTTACTGATTATCTCACCTCTCCTCTCCAGGCCCACACAATATTATAACTTTATAAAATTTTCTTTCTTTCTGATGAGGGGTTCACCCAGAGGAGCATAGATCAAATTTTAAATCAGACCAACAATCGAGAAATAAACAACACCCCATTCGAAGAACTACCAAGCAAGCCGACAATAAACAGCCCAGCCAAGGAGCCCGTAAGACCATCCCCACCAACAATGACAGGCCAAGCGCTAGAATATAAACTGAGAGCAAACCCTACTCCCTACCAGCACTGATGATGTTACCTAGTTCGGTAAATGAAACGTCTGAAAGAAAACCAAGCTCAGAAAACACCAAGGATCATATGATGACCGTTTGTGGCCATCGGACAAGCAAGGACAAGAGGGATTCACTTTACAACCTTGCTATTAACTTAACCACTGCAGTGATTGTGGCAGGAAAGGTTGTAAATTGGGGACAAAATTCACTCAACAACTCAGCAAATGTTTTGGGCCCAGTTAAAGTTCTAAGTTGAGGACTACCTAGCATGGGAGTCAATAGTAGGCTTGTCATGTAGAAAATCTATGGAGTTTATCAGAAGCAACACCAATTGAAATGACCCATAAGCCATCAATAACATATCATATTTTTCAGAGTATAAAACCCACTCCCACCAAAAGTGGGTGAAAATTTCTGAGCGTCTTATACAGCGAATGTTGCTGAAGCCCCACCTACCCACTGGCTCCCACCTGTTGGCTCTCATCTGCCATCCCCATCCGCTGGGAGTTTTTGGCCTCTGCGCATTATGTTTTTGGCCTCCGCATGCCCCGTCTGTGGCCCATTCCAGCCGATTGCTGCCTCCGTGCGTCATGTTTTTGGCCTCCGCATGTCCTGTTTTTGGTCTCCGTGCATCGTGTTTTCATCTAGTTTCAGGTGGCAGGGATCGGCCTCCTGGAACGGGCCAAAAACGTGATGCGCAGAAGCCGTACATGTGGTGTGCGGAGTCCGTAAATGTGATGCGCGGAGGCCAAAACGCAACATGCGGAGGTGGCGATCGGCGGTGATGTGTTGGGACGATCCCTGCAGCTTGGAACGGGTCTAAAACAGAGCATGCGGAGGCTGAAAATGGGACGCATGGAGGCCAAAAACACGATGCACGCAGGCCCCAATGGGCTGTGGCGATCCCGGCATCCTGGAACAGCTGATTCGTGGTATTTCGGGAGGCTGATCCAACCGCCAATCAGCTNCCCTTGTTCTTTAGCAGTTCCTTTCGTCTGGCAACTCTATGCATGCACGCACTGGGAAGAGGCTCCAGCTGTTCGTCTGCCTCACTGATGTCTGACTCCAAAGGCAGCTGATAACTGTCAGACGGCACTGGCCCCATCTCTCCCTCTGATGCAGAGCCCTCATCGGAGCCTTCCCCAGTCTCCAGGACTGGCCCATGTTCCTCCCCAACCTCCTTACTGTCCGAGTCTGCTGCCAGATCCGCTGGCTGAGGATCTTTGGTGGGCCAAAACACGGTATATAAGTCTAAGGGCTATTGCTACAACGGGACTAAAAAAAAGTGACTTATGAGCATTTTTCACACGTTCGTTGCAGCTTCCCCATAATCAAAATTAGAGACCCTTGGCATCTGACTCATATTTATGATGGCTGCAGTGTCCTAGTGCCATGTGGTCACCTTTTGTGACCTTCTGATAAGAAAAGTCAATGAGAAAGCCAGATTTACTTAACAACCGTGTTACTAACTTACCAACTGCAGCGATTCACAACAACTACGGCGAGAACAATCTTAAAATGGGAGCAAAATTCATTGAACAAATGCCTTGTAGCAACAAAAATGTGGGGCTCAGTTGTGTGGTCGTAAGTCGAGGACTACTTTGGGTTTGAAACTTTGGCCAACTTAGTTTGAATTGGAAAATTAAGGATGGTGGACAACACCAGAATCCCAGAATGGAAGTTCAAACAATATTGTGGAAGCAGCAAAAGATACTTCTGTAATGTTGCCAAGAAAATTGTAGCATGATGTCCAAAATTTTATGTCCAGAACCTGAGCTTGGTTAGAGGGTATCTCTTCCCCCCCCCCCTTTCCAAAATCTTTTCTCATCTGAATTATTTTTTCAATTTTATTTTTGGAAGGTCCTTTCTTTAGTGCCTTCAGAAAGTGCTTGTTGGCAGCACTGTTCTTAGCAACTGTGAACCAAACCATCACTAATTTCAATTCTTGTACGGTTTATTGAAGCCAACGGCCAAAGTCACCGGGGAATTCATTCTGGTTTGCCGTGACTAGCCAGAAAACCCAAATGGGAATCCAGAATGTCTGAACTTATGAATTAATATTAAAGTCTCTGGTAGCTGTTGCGCCATGAAGAGCTGTTGAATTTTTTTGAACTCTGTACTGATGTAGAATTCTTTCTTTAGGAAATCTTGATGAAGTTCACCAGAGGCATGCTAATAAAGCAATGCCCTTGCATTTTGAATTTTAAATCAGCCTTGAATTTTCAGGAGAGATTGAACTGACCTTAAATATCTATAAAAACGGGTCTTATATTGCCTTGGTCCCTGCATTGTTTGGAGAATAAGAGAGATTCTTATAAATGCTAAGATAAAATGCTAAACGACACCAATGGATAATTATACAATAGGTCTGGGCACAAACCTCCAAATAATGAGTATAGAAGGGAAAGTCAAAAGCAAAACCAGTTAAGAGAGGGGGGGGACACTTCCAGTGGTGGGTTTCCAAATCTTTTCCTATTTTGCATGCACATGCACGCTTTGCATGCGTGCATGTCTAACGTGTGCTTTGCGTGCATGCGCAGCACTCAAAAGACCGCCCTCGATGTCAGTGCTGTTGAGCTGAGCTGATTCTTTGATCAGCTAAGGCATGGCCACCTGCTCTGCCATGCAAATAACAAGGGAACATAGGATAGGGAACAACAGGGGTGAGGTGGGGGTTGTGGTGGCAACCAGAGGTAGTATTTGCCGGTTCTCCAAACTACTCAAAATTTCCGCTGGTGGTACGCCAGAACCGGTCTGAACTGGCTGAATACCACCTTTGGGTACTTTGGTACAGAGGTGGGTTGCTAATTCTTTTACTAACGTTTTGGCCACACTCCCATGCTCGCTTCCACGCATACGCATTGCTTCTGCAGGTGGGTGGGTGGAGCCTCCCGCCGCCACTACTACTGGTTCAGCCGATCTGGGCTGAACCGGCAGCAACCCACCTCTGCTTTGGTACTCATTGTTAATTAGTTCTGGGAGACGTGATGAGCACCAAGTACCAGACAAATTTTTCCCATGAGGAATAATGCAGTGAGTCACAAGGCACCCAATGCTAACAAATTCTAGCTTGTGCATTGAGTACTAAACAAAGAATTGACAAATTTTTTTGCATCAAAGTGCATTGAGTACCAACTTTGATGCAGTTGAGTGCCAAGGTACCATTGTAGTAGAATTGAAAGATACGAGCAGACGAAATATTTTCTGCTGGGTGAGAGGTATAATATTATTCTTTGCATGAGTCCTCTTAATGATTTTTGCTTACTAAAAAAAAAGAGCATGCTTTCCTTGGATGTGTGGATGATATCTCTCCCTTTGCATAAGATCTTTAAAGGGTTTCTCAGTTGTTCTTCCCTACATTTCTATCGCATTCAAAGATGTTTTTTTCTTCTTCTGTGCTTCAGTGTCTCTCTAATGGTGCAATTCACCCGTTAAAAAAGCATTTCTCCTCTTCCTTCCGGACATCTGCAGGTGAGCACCAGTGTGATGAGCGTGTACAGTGGAGATTTTGGCAACGTGGATGTGACAGGGAATCTCCAGTTTGCCATTGACTATGTGGAACAGTTGAAGGAGTTCCATATTTTCATTGCCCAGGGCAAGGATTTGGCAATTGCCGACGTGAAAAGGCAACGTTCAGATCCGTAAGTGCAGTTGGAGGAGAGAATCTGAAACAGTTATTTTTTTTATTTTTTTTAGAAAAAAATTATTTTTTAGAAAAATAAAAAGAACTGTGCTGTATTACTTTCATTGTTTGTTTGTTTGTATTTGTATCTCACCTTTATTGCTTTTATGAATAACTCAAGGTGGCGAATATATCTAGTGTACCTTCTTCCTCCTATTTTCTCCACAACAACCCTGTGAGGTGTGTTGGGCTTAGAGAAGGTTAACTGGCCCAGAGTCACCCAGCTGGCTAAGGCAGGACTAAAACTCACCCTCTCCTGGTGATTGGCCCAACGTCATCCAGTTAGCTTTCATCCTAAGGGGGGGGGGGTAGAACTCACCGTCTCCTGGTGATTGGCCCAAAGTCACCCAGTCAGCTTTGATGCCTAAGGCAGGACTAAAACTCACCATCTCCTGGTGATTGGCCCAACATCATCCAGTTAGCTTTCATCCTAAGGCGGGACTAGAACTCACTGTCTCCTGGTGATTGGCCCAAAGTCACCCAGTCGGCTTTCATGCCTAAGGCAGGACTGAAACTCACCGTCTCCAGGTGATTGGCCCAANAAAAACTAATGTGCGTCTTATATTCTGGAGCATCTTATACTCTGAAAAATACGGTAAATGCCCATCAATCATAAGTACTGTGTCTGCAGATTATCCTGTGTTTTAATTTAAATGCTTTATTTTTATTTACGTTGTTTTTACCCTGCTGCATTTTCCAAGGACTAATAGAGGTTTGTCTAATTAAAATCACAACATAGCAACAGAGTAGCGAATACAATAAATCAAAAGTGACAGAATCCTGGATCGACAATAAAAGTTAAACTGTGATGAATAGGCATCCAGGGGTAGAAACAGCTGAAAACTGGTGGCATTTCAGCAGCTTTCATCAGAAAATGGAAGAAATATTGTCTGTAATATTGTGAAATTTGGGTCACATGAGATCTTGAGGATATTAAAAAAAAAACTCTTGCAAGATTTAGCAGTATCTTCATATTAGGGACAATTTTATTCATAGGGAGCACATCAGAGGTGGGTTCTGGCCGGTACGACCTGGTACGGCCGTACCGGTGGTAGCCGGGAGTAAAGGCCACCATACCGATACAGTGACTTGTTTGCCCAATTGCCCGCCCGTGTTCCATGCCTGGTTTTAAAGCAACCGGCCAATTGTGCATGCACGCACATCCTGTGGCACCTGCACAATCTTGACAAGCAGCTGGGTGTCTCAGGGGCTGTGGAGTGAGCATGCGTGCACGACCAGGACGCGGCCCCATGTGCAGCGTACCGGTAGCGATGGGGAAAGGAACCCACCACTGGAGCACACCCAGATCTTGAAATGATGAAGGACTATAATATTATTCATGGATTGGAATCATTGAATGAAGCTGATTTGAAGATGAAGAGCAGATCTGCCAAGGACAACAATAACTACAATAACTCAAAGAAAAGTCACATATTCCAAAATAATAAAATTAGGAACACAGAGGCAAAATTGCAGAGTTGGAAGGGACCTTGGAGGTCTTCTAGTCCACCCTTATGCTCAAGTAGGAGACCTAATATCATTTCAGACAAATGGCTGTCCAATCGCTTCTTAAAAACCTCCAATGAGGGAGCACCCACAACTTCTGGAGGCAAGCTGTTCCACTGATTAATTGTTCTCACCAGAGGTGGGTTGCTCCTGGTTCGGCCCGGTTCAGCTGAACCCGTAGTGGAATTCAGGCCTGGATCAGAGCGACCCCAGGCCTGCCACACCCCCAAACTGTTCCCTCACTGCCGCTGAGCTGCCGCCATTTTGGTTTTTAGTGACGGCGCATGTGCAGTTCATTGCAAATTGTTCTGCGCATGCACAAAGAACAATTTACATTGAACAGCGCACTTGCACGGGTTGTAAACCGGTAGTAAAACTGGCAGCAACCCACCCCTGGTTCTTACTGTCATGAAATTTCTCCTTATTTCTAGGGTCGGATCTCTCTTTGATTAGTTTCCATCCATTACTTCTTGTCCTGCCGTCGAGTGCTTCGGATAATAGATTGACCTCTATAATCTTCCTAATACTGCAAGATTGCTATCATGTCACCCCCAAGTCCTCCTTTTCATTAAACTAGACATACCCAATTTCAGCAACTGTTCTTTATATCTTTCAGCCTCCAGGCCCCTAATCATCTTTGCTGTTCTTCTCTGCACTCTTTCTAGACTATCGACATCTTTTTTGTATTGCGGTGACCAAAACTGTTAATTTCTAACCCTGCCCTGTTTTGCTCATGAGCTACCCCAAAAGAATCTGACCCGCGACTGTTGATAATAGGATGCTAATGTCACCGTGAAAATGGCAGGGAGGTGTCTACAGATCACAGGTTCAGTGGAAAGGACACTTCATCTGAACCATGTTTCATGTCTGTTTGTTTCTCTGCAGTATAAAATAGACAAAGCCGTTTTGAAGAGTCAAAGGTTGAATATCTCAGTTTGGCATCACGATACTTTTGGCCGCAATAGCTTCCTGGGTGAGGTTGAGCTCGAGTTGGCAAGTTGGGACTGGAATGACAGTCGGAACAAACAAATGATCTGGTACCCATTGAAACCAAGGGTAAGTCTTGATTAGCTANTGCCTTGATGTAAGGAATCAGTACCTGGCTAAAATCATCACTTTCAAAAACATCTTTTTCTTCCTCCTTCTTCCTCTTCTTCCCCATCCTTATTTTAAAGGCTCGGTATAAGGATGGAGAGTTTGCATTAAACGGCCATTTAAACTTCTGCACCGTCTGTCATTGCGCGGGTACTTTTAATGGCTTTTGTGAGATGTATTTTTCACACTTTTCTTCATGGGCTATTAAGTCTAGAAAGACGGGAAACGCTGGTTGAGAAATATGAATTGCTAGCGTCTGTTTAGCGGGAGGCTCAGACAATGCACAAGCGAGCTGCTGGAGCGCGCGGAGTCGCGCCTTTAGATTACGAAGGCCGTCGCCTGCAGCCCAGACGCCTTCGCCGCCGCTGCTGCTGCTTTGCTGTAGCCTTTCTACCCCCTGCGAAGGGCAGGACGGGGTTTCAAGCAAGGGTGAGATCTTCCTTACAAAGGGCTCTGGATACAGCCGTAACTGCGTTGGTTTTCTGGGCAATCCCCAAACAGGGCGCAAAATTCCTTTTTAAAAAAGGGCGTGGGATCACCACTCAGAGTTTAGAAACCTTACTTCGCAGCACCGGACCGTATTACTTTCGCAAACATCTGACCACAACAACCGTGGATCCTAACAGTTCAGAGACGAATTGTGTACCGAATTACATTTCCCTCAATTCTATCAAGCCTCCTCTTTAAAAAAACAAACAAACCCGAACCTTTTGTCTATACAAAACCAATTACGTAACGTCAAAAATATCTAAATCGGTTAAAAACGGATGAAACTCATAGAAAGTATTCATAGTTAATGTGATTTAAGAGGAGATCTCAAATTATCCTTTTAAGGTTTAGCTGTACTTAAAAAAAACACTAAAGACTTATCTGATGGCTAAAACATGTGGGAATATTGAAAATTGTAGATGTTATCATATTGGGAGTAGCTAACTTTTTTTTTGCAGATTTAACAACAAGTTTATAAGATGTTGTTTTGTCTTCGTGAGCATTTACAGCTGGATCTTTAAAAATGTGAAAACGTGACTTCCCGTTAGGATTGCACTCCTGGATGGAAAATGAAATTGCATTTTGAATTTTCATGGACATTTCACTGAATATTTGCTGTTTTCCCCACAGCATCTCAGGAAATTTATTCTTGAATAACTGCTTAGTATTTGGATATAAAAGAATTCATGTCAGAGGCTTTTCTGATTCCTAATTGAAAAGGAAAAAGGGAAGGGTCACGGGGAATGGAAACGAAACAGGAACCATCATTTTCAAACAAATTACCAAACGATGCAAATTAAGGAGTGCTTTCTAGTACTGGTACAACAGTTGGTGCCTTTTAGAAGAAAGTAAAGCATTTTTAATGCAAGGGAGCAGAACTTTTTTTTGTCACATCTTGTTCACTGATTTCAGCGTATCTATTGATATATCCACAGCATACAGGATTATTATTCTACTTATTTTGCACATTTGTTCGCACTTAGCCATGCAAATGGGTTTGTGTATATGTTCATGAACTCCCCCACCACCATACCAGTATTTTTATACATACTTGAATAGATATAACCTGCATTGAGGAGGTAACAAGTGAAGGTCTGGAGACATTCCTTTATGGCAGCAAAGGAGAAAGCAAAATAAAGAGAAAGCTCCAGCATCTTCAAGATGGGCACAACAGAAGATAAGACAATGAAGTCACCAAACAATGTGGGATTAGGCCTGGCCAGCAAAAACAATCCTGGTCAGTTATAGAGAAATGATTTGTGTGGGAACAAGATCACTGCTTTAAAGAAGGCAACCATTATAAGAAGTCATGATTTATTCAGACATATTTCCTATATTACCTCATGCTCTTATTTTGTGTGTGTGAATGCGTGCACATACACACATATGCTTTTTTGGTCAATGCAGTGGGGGACATTTTTTTTAAAAAAATAACACGCAGATAATACAAACATTTAATGAGTCAGCAGCACATTCTTGATCACAAAGTTACATTAATACTCAGTTCTGTGGTTACCTCTTTTTTTCTAAGAAGCTTTTACATTGTGTGTGTGTGTATTTCATAGTGCATGATATTTCCCATGCACTATGAAATACATTTCCCTTCCCATTTTTGTTTCTCATTCCAAATCTGTCTGTCCCAGACATTTGCCACAATGGATGCTATTTAGTTTACACCCATTTTAACTTAACTGTAGGTATATGCTTGAAGATACCAACGTAAAATATATTATCAGACTTGAGCCTTCTCTATTTATTGATGAATGTACATATGCATGCGTGTGCACATCTCTATCTATCTATCTATCATCTATCTATCTATCATCTATCTATCTATCTATCTATCTATCTATCTATCTATCTATC